CTAGTAGCCAACATTGCTTTTGCGTTCCTCCTCTTAGAATCACTTTGTTTTTGCTTTATTCTTTAGTTTATACAGTTAGCTACCTTTTTAAATGCATCTGCCGGTTGAGAAACATAAAATCATAGTTAAAAATTGTCAATTAAAATACAATTATCAATGATGCTTTAAAATTTACGCCATATTTAAGCTGAGCAATATAAGCAAAACTTACTGAACTTGACACTGCAATCGAGCAACGAAAAATTCGTTGGCTCGAGCGGGATTTGAACTCGCATCTTCGGGTATCTAGACCGCCGCTCTACCTATTGAGCTATCGAGTCAACAGGGATTGGTAGCGAGTCTTATCCAATTTAAGTGCACGAAATATTTTTGTGACGACTTAACGCTTGTCTTTACTGAACTTCACTACATAATTTTCTCTTTGGCGTAGTCTAAAATCGTTTCAATTTAGCATTATTTTACAGATAAAGCACTAAACATACTTTTTAAGTTTGTTGCCGATTGAGAAACGTTTCGAAAACTAAAAATTGAGTCATAACCTCAAGTGGTATATTATACGCTTAATGACTCAAGTTGTTGATTTTTCCCCTCCACTTTCTCGACAAACACAATATTAAACACAATCATTTATTTTTGTGGGAGAGGGGTTCGGGGTTGTGAAGAGTCCATTTACAGTATATGACAAGCATCATGCCTACTCATATGTCACACCCTATTAGCTGCACTGATTCTGAACTGGCACTGATAATCTGACCAAGATTCACTTGGACAGTCCTAACCTGACCAACTGGAGCACGAAACACCAGTATGGACAGTCCTTACCCTGACCAATCGGAGCACAAAACCCCTATGGACAGTCCTTAACCTGACCAAAGGCACTAAACCCATATGGCCAGTCCTTAACCTGAACATGGGGGGTAAACCCCCATGGCCAGTCCTTAAATTTAGATATATTATGTGTGACATATATTGAGTCTATGGGCCTGAAGTTGACATTTTATGGAGACTTCATCCCCACAAATACACAGAATGTGTATTCCCCATAGACGAACCCTCCCCCGAAACGTTGTTAGTTACTTAGCGGTTACCACATTTGTCAAAGTGGCTGATACCCCAGATAGAGTTGCAAGACAGCTGCTGCCAGATGACAGTTAGACATATATTTGAGCGTTACCATCACTCATACTATAGCTGGATAATCAGGGAGGCCAGAAAAAACCTGGAATATACAGGAAACCTGGATGGGGCCAAGACAACCAGCAGCTTCCCCACAAAGCTTCTATCTTACAAGTTCTTAATTGGAGGGTTGGTAACACGACAAACAAAGCTCACCATCAAGGCACATAATTATTTATTTTATTTATTTATTTTTAAATGTAAATGTGTTCATTAAGACGTTTTGCACAACATTTTTTTAAATTTTTTTTGTTAACCACTCTTAGTTTATTTCAATTATGATTGGTGGAACTTTCCTGAGTTGTGGTGTGACATTACTCTCAGAAAAATAGCTTGTTCATTAGTTTAATTCGAAATAGCAGGGCCAAAATGCAATTCAGGTGCTTATAACCAGTGTTGTGATCGAACATCCAATCATGCATTCATGATATTAGCAGAAATTGTAAAATATGTATTTGGTAGATTAAATATATCATGCAGTTAAATGATAGTACATCAACAGATTTTCAATTTTCATGAGCGTAGGCATGCATGGTAATAAATATATATGTGCAAAGTTTGAAATCTTAAATTTTGTTAACAAATGAGCTTGCTTTCTTATGTTTTGAACAGTAAAGTATTGACAATGTTGCAGGTCCAATTAATGTTAGGTTTTGTTAGTTGACCTGCATCTAGGGACGCAAAGCCTCATTAATATCATTAACTCGACGAAAGACACGCAAAACCACTGTTTCTTATTGGCTGTCTTAACGCAAAATAGCAAGATTCGATTGGCTGTTGCATACATTTCTTGTATGCTAAATATGTTGTCCTGAGTTATTCGCTTTGTAATTTCCATGGTCATCATGAAATATAGGTAATAAATCATTAATATATGCACATAGTCATTTTGACAGATTATGCTCGCAACCCACTGTTAATCTGCCCAATGGAATTTGTCTTTAGTCTTTACTATTAGTACAAAGAACAATTTGTAAAAATATAAAACCTATACTCGAGCTGCGAGCCAGTCAAAATTGTACATTTCGCAAAGCATATTTCGTTCAGCTGGACAAATTAATTTTCGGGCTTGTCTGATTGCCACTCTTGGTCTTGGAGGCATGGCTCAAACTGTTTGTTATAGTGTGTTTGCAGTCTGTACTGTACTACAAAAGTTCACATATAATTAAGTTATGCGTATATGAACTAAGTCTAGTGATATTAAAAATAGGCCTACTATATATCCCAACAGTATATCCAGTATTGTGAGTTGCGGCATTGTGAAATGTACACGTTAAACTTTTGTGGCTTAAACGAAACCGCAGTTATAGCTCACTCGCCGCTTTGCCTTTAATTAAGGCTTTGGCCTGAAAGGAGTGAACGAGTTATGACATTGAGTTGCATAAGAGTTCGCTTGTATATCTATTCGATCATTCTTTCATTCTTTAGTAGACGGTTCAGTTCATATATTCATGCAAATTCTACCAAATTTGTTTCATGCAACGTGTAATGCGAATGGAATTTTTGTCCTGGTACAACGTTTGAACATTAATTTTATGTACGTCGAATTGTGACATGTCCTTTTAAATCTTGTAGTAATTACTTCAATGCGGAATGATCTATACTTTTAAGATCAGTTAATAACAACATAATTATATATCTTTATCTGCTATTTCCGCGCACCCATGTATTACTCTCTATATATTGAATAATATAATTCTCTTCATCTGTACGTAACAGTAAAATCTACACTTAGGTCGCTATTATGCACCTTATTAGCACATATCCTTTATGTAACCAATCAAATTTGAGATTTTTGGCTATGCAAATTTTTTAACTGAATATAAGCTCGTTTACGTCCTTAGATGCAGGTGAACTATTAACGTGCGCTCTGAAAAAGAAGTTTATAAGTCTACTTTTGAACGATTGAATACAGTTCAACATAAGAGCTGATTGAAAACCCAATCCAACGCCGAATCTGAGGCGTAATCTGAAGCCTAATCAGCGGCTAACCTGAAGGTGGTAATAAAATTGTCATTGGAATTTTTGATCGAGAAATTATACACCAGAATGTAAATGTCGTTATAAAATAGACGAATTTAGTAGATTTTTGGTTGGTTTGGGAAGTGGAATACGAAATCAGAGGCCCAATATAACCTCAAGGTGGTATTAATATTAAAAAATTAACATTGAAATACAGATGAGATTGATTTGCGTGAATAGTCGATACATTTGGCGCTCGACAATTACTATATATACCCAAATTCTGTGATAAAATAGACGAAGTTAAAGCATTTTGGTTGGTTTGAAAAGCGTAATACGAAACAAACGTGTGAATTCGCCGCAACTTTTAAATATACGCACCAAATATATCCGTTTCACTTAAGCATGTACGCTAGTTGAATATTTCGTGTTTATGTAGCCTCTCGATCTTGTTATAATTCCCCCAGCGGCGGTTTCATTAAATGGAAATAACTTCATCGGTATTTGAGCCAACGTATTCATTGCGCCACCAGAAGAGTTAAAGCACTTGACCACGGTAGAGTTATATTGGATAAACAGCATAAACTGCGTCTCACTGGATCGTACATCGATACTTGAGCCAACGTATTCTTTTGTCCACCAGACGAGTACAAGTCCTTGCCCGTGGGCCGTGGCAGAGTTATGTTTGAATAAACTACGTCTCACTGAATCACATATCGGTACTTGAGCCAACATATTCCTTTGTCCACCAGAAGAGTAAAAAGCGCTTGCCCGCGGTAGAGTTATATTTTGAAAATCTTTCGATAATGTTACTCTGTCGACATCTCAGAGTAAATTACGTTATTTTGCATGAACTCGTGCATGTTATGTGCCAATTAGGATGGGCTGTGTTGTGCCCTATGATTGGTCAAAGCACAGAACAGAGTCGTACAAGGTTTTCAATTGGTTCACAGTGTGTTTCACGGTTTGTTCACGTGAATGTGTGCTAGCTGGCAGAAGATGATCTTTGACCTATCTGTCAAGACCTTAGACCTAACTGTCAAAGATTAGGTTGATATAAACCACATCTACCTCCTCATCTTACCATCACACCTTGTCTCATTAACTTAAATTTATATAGGCTATAAATTTGCTATTAAGCGATATTCCCCCAGGGCTTTCTTAGGAACAACCCCCAAGGGTGAAACACGAAATTTGGGAAAAGGCGGGAAATCGAAAGGCCCGGCAAGTCGACCGGCTGCCAATTCGTTCGAGAGTTTAGAGAAAAACCAAACTTAAAACCAGTATACAAAATAGATGTCAATCCCGGATCATATCCACATAATAAAGGTTGAAGATTATCAATTCGAACCGGTGTTGGAAGGACGAGATTTGGCCGAGGTCGGGGCAGAGGTGTGCTGTGAGGAACGAAAATTACACCGTAGGGCTGGGTGAATTACACCACACTTGTAACAATTATGTTTATAATTGCAACCAGGGCAGTGATCGCCACGGTGAAACCTGCGACAAAACCCGCTGGGAACAAAGGGCCCGGCAATTGAAGAGGACAAGTTGTTGCGTACAGGCGGTTGAGATTTTGAAAAACGCGCATTATTAAAATTCTGTGCACGGATCCAAAGTTCCCAATGCGTAAACCCCCATGGCAACTCGGTCGGATTAGATTGACGCAAGAGACGAAATTGTGAGTCATAAAAGCGCCAGTCAGCCCCTCGCACGGCCAAATCCCGGACAACTTCACTATATTTCATCAATGCTGGGGCCTCCATTGGATATTTGGCAGTGTACACCCCTACAAAAATTTGAAAAGCCGAAGTCCATGCACCAATGTTAGCAATGGCTTTCGGCTTTTGGGACGGTTGCAAAGACAACGTCGGCAAAGCTGAACCGTTTTGGGAGCTCACAGACAAGTGATACCGGGTATCACCTGCCCCTGAGCTAATTAAAACACCAAAATCGACGAATTCGTGAGACCAAATCTTGGCCTTAACTTTTGCGCTCACATTCGCATCAATGGGTACATTGATGGAATTAAATTTAGGCAGACCCGGCACTACAGGCGGTGAGACTTGGATAAAACTAGTCTCACCTGAAAGATTATTTAAGGCAGACGCTACCGGCCCCTGCATAGTAGCGTCTGCAAAACTAGCTATACCTGACGCTACCATAGGCAATTCCCTCATTTCCACAGCTGAAGATGGCGGCGGAAGAGTAGTGGCGCAGGCTCCATTGAGTGACGCTAGCACAGCTTGGGAGACGGCGGAGACAATCCGTTGAACCGTTTCGTTAGGAACAGTCGTCGCTGGCGATGCTGCATCAGGTGCTGACGTTGTGGCCACGGAGGAAGACGCCTCACAACTAACTCCACTTGACTCTGGTTGCTGCATAGTGGTGGCACTGGCGGTTGCTGTTCTTCTCCGAGAGGATGGACGACGTGGTGCTGCTGGTTGTGCACGACGTTGAACTCTTGTGCTAGGTCGAGTAGCAGGCATTCTGAAAGAAAAAACTAAAGACCGAAGACTTTGCTTAACGGGGCCACATCAGGCCCTGGAATATTAGACAAGAGGAATTTTGGAAAATAACAGACGTCATATTGCACAACCATTTACATATTCATGCAACGGTGACAAATAAAACAACATATAAGCAGCAGAATAATCATGGCATACAGCGAAGGTAGCCGCAATTGATTATCCTTTAAAGCCGCAAAAAATAATATACAAGGGCAATCTGAAAACAACATGCCGCACCGTCCCACAATATATTGACAACAACTGTGGGCATCTGAAAACAATAATTGCTCTATCCCACTTAGACATGCATTTTTTCCTTGACACAGGAGCGGCAAGTCATATATACCTATACTATAGAAAAGACATCTTATATACAACACAAGGAAACTACAAGAACACTCCACACACATGTACTCTACATGAAACAAAACAGATACATAAACTATTAAAGAAGCTGCGAGTTGTACGTATATATAACCAGCGCAAATCATGAATATGTCCTGTGTAGAAAAAACTCAATATTGAAGTCTCAACGTGGGCATCTGAAAACAGTCATGTTGCTCTAGCCCATATAACATAAACATATAGTAGTGGTACATAAACGGCAACCACATACATAGGGGTAAAATATAAAAGAGTATATAATATAGTGCACCATAATTATCAAACAATTATGCAATAATAATGTCTGTACCAACGGCGTAAAATGAACACATATTGGAGCTAAGGACTATAACATGGTGAGAGCCTTCAAGATGGCCCCACGATAGCTACGGTATAAACAGTACTGTCCCTGTGCATTACAGTGCACACCATCTGAGGACAACAAGAGACGATCAGGGTGAGAAAACTCCCTATGTTCCCACACAAAAATGCCTTGTTCCTCAGCAAGGACAACAGACAGGTACTGGCGTAAAAGAGCGGCTTTGGTATTAAACGCATTATCAGGTGCCTGAGTGTGAGGCAGATTCCGATTAATCACTTGGCACACAGCAACAACGCGAACTTTATACTGATCGCGCAGAACGTGCACAAGATCATCGAGTTTCGACCCCACTACTTCAGGGGTGTGACCCGACAAATCGTTAGTGTCCATTTCGAGAATCACGATATCGGGCTTGTACTTTTTGACCCATGAGAGATCATATTTAAGCACTTTATCTACGGTTCTGCCACCCGTACCCAACAAAGAAACATTGCCCGATTCGGGTAGATGAAAATTTGGGGCAGCGCGTAAATCAAAGTGCGCTTCCAGGTCGTCCCGTAAACGACGGACAAAGGAATGCCCGAGAAGTAAAATAGTTGGAACACACCCAGACATTACAACTTTCAGATATAAAATGAAAGAAAATTTACCTGATGGAAAAACTTGACTTTAAAATACAGACAACTTTGCGCTACCAAAGCGAAGAGCAGAATGAACCAGATGCGCATTCTGCTATAGATATGTATCACCTCTCCCTTCCGTTTTCCTGCACGCATTACATTCATGTGATCAGAAAATTACGGGGAAAATACCCATGTGTCCCATGTCAAGTTTGTTTATTTATATATCCTAAGCTCAGGAAGCAATAAAATCTTCATTGGTATGCCAATAATTCCTATATTGCATGCACTTTGTTCTGTTATTTTAGTTTAGTATAATTGTGATTCAAATAGCCAACCGTAAGTTACCTTTATGAGAGAGATTTACGATGTATATGTATGTAAAGAAAAACATTTAATAA